GATACTTCTCTAACGTCCCTAACATTAGAGAACATGACATGATGCTGTCTCTTATCCAGTACCCTCCGTCCCTCGGGTAGGTTCGGGTTCATTCCAGGGTCCTCCATGAAATGCTCAATGAGGACGTTGAGACTCCTTAAGTAGGAGGCTTCCGATGTGAGTACCTCGTACATAGCCTAGGAAGGAAGAGAGTGAGTGAGGGGATGAAGTATGTTAGTTAATGATTACTTCTTGTAGCTTCCTGTCCTGATCTGATATCACTCCTAAAACGCCACTTCTGATCACCTAAGAATAAACAAAAGAAGAGATCAACTAACTTGTATTTCAATTATCTTGCATACTATTGTTATTATTATTATTATTATTATTATTATTATTTTCTTACCTCTGGTTGCTCACACCACAGTTTCCGATGATTGATTGACAGTTGGCGGGCAATCTCCAGCTGGTTGGACCCTTTACCAGCAGCAGGGACTGTCTGAGACTTATCGGAAGGAAATGAAAGATTAGTGCTTGAGAAATCGGCATGATTGATATACTGATACAGTGGCTCTAAAATAAATAAATAAATAAAATTTTACACATGTGCACAAAAATTTTACCTTCTTCTGGGTCTTGTTTCGAAGATTCCTACAAAAATTCATAAATTAATAATTAATTATTTTAAAATTAATAATACATAATGACAGGTGCTTACTCTCTTGAGTGGCATAGTGAGATTTTTCGGTAACTGTGGCAAACCAACAGCTGCAAAAAAAGAAAGAAAAAGAAGAGAGAGAGAGGGGGGGGGGAAGAGAGAGAGAGTGAGAGAAAGAGAGAGGGAGATTAGAATCACAATATTCTTTATATCCACAAACTCATCTCACCATTTCTCAGTGAGAGGTCCTCTTCTTCCCCACTGGAGTAGCCAGGGTCAGTCAGTGAGGCTCGTGGTTGCTTCCTCTCATCCAGGGCATCCATCGAGGACGTCCTCTGGATGGAACTACGACGTTGAGGCTCATCCCCAGTTCCTGTAACGACAATGGATACTTTTTGTGACTTGCTGTCAGAGTTAGCTCTTCGAACGGAAACAGGCGAGACCCCTAGACTGTTGGTGACACAGATACTGGCACTGAACCGCCTTGGGTCCTCTGAGCTAGTTGTAGAACCAGATCCTATAGAAATATTATAATAAGCGTGTGCTAGTAATGTCACTATTAATAATAACGTCACTATTAATAGTAACATTAATATTAATAATAGGTGATACTATTAATAGTGACATTACAAAGATAACAATAGCATTATTATTAGTAGTAGT